CCACCACCCAGGCAATACCACCACCACCACCAACAACAACAACTAAACACAATAAAAAAAATCAGATCCAAAATTACTCGTCATCGCCACGACCACTGCATTGCACCGTACCACCCAAAACTCCGACTAAGTAGATCAGAGAAAGAACCAACCTAAAACTCCAAAACCATCGCCGCGGGCCCGCCTCACCCCACCTCCACCTACCACACCACCACCACCACCACCACTACTAGCATCATCACTGCACACACTGCCCCACACACCACCGCATACGTACCACCACAGTTTCACACCCTTTTGTGTCAAACACACAAATCCGCAACCACCATGAAGCAACAATGTTCGTCGCTGCTTATAACAGATCTGTCGTCGTCTTTTTCTTAACAATTCGAGATGGTGACATCTGCTTCGGAGTGATGAGGCTACAGACGGTGGCTACTTCAGGGCGAAGATATTGCGGTGGTAGCTTGAGCATCGTGCCACAATATCTCTGACGCTGATAAAGAGAGGAGAGAATTGTGGGATATAGAGATAGACAAAGGAAATAATAGAAAGAGAAAAGATAAAAGAAAATGCGTGGTTGGGTTGGGTGAGTAGATATGTGTTTTAATTTAATTTTATAATATATTTACTAATACTAAAACTTTAAATTATTATCTGCTTTTTAAATAAAAAACTTGCAAATTATATTTTGAATTGTAAAATGGAAATGTTTGGGTAGTTATAATGTCAACTTTGGAAAATCAACAAATAAAAGTCCTAGACCTTAGGTCCAGTGTAGTATCGCCCAAATGAGCCCAATAAATTAGAATTTCTGTGGAATACCCCTGTAGATCTTTCTAGAAACAGCAGAGTATCTCTAGACACATCTAGGACCACTCCAACATCATAAAAAAATCGAGTCTTTCTTGTTTAAAATTTGACCCGAATTTTCCACACCGGCCCACGCCCACCCCTTTAAACCCCGAGACTATTCACTGCACCAAACAATAAAGAAGAGAGCTTTTCCTTTTGTTCTCTGAATTCCCTCTCACCCTCCAAAGTATTCGGAAGAGAATTCCAGAAAGTCACTTCGTTGATTCTTCTTAGGTACTTTAGTGATTGAATTCAAGCCCTAACGTTCTGCCTCTGCAATTATGAGATCTAATTTTATCTTCATTTTTTATTTGTTCTATTGATTTATTCGATATTCTCTTTTATCAGCTCTGTTGTTTAAATTTTTTTGGATTTTTAATTTATCCTGCATATAAAATGTCTTTTGTAATTCAAGTTTGTTCATTATTTTAGGTAGATTGGGTTCTATTTTGAAAATTTCGGATTTCAAGTAGGTTCATTTTTTTTTTTTCATCTAGAAGAACTCGATTATGGTGGCGTATTTGAAAGGATTCAATGGCATTTGGATAGAGAGAATAATATTTTAACTTTTCCTTGAGTTAGCTCAAGCCGGACTCAATGTGACAATGGTGTTATTTTCTTTAAAATGATTGCTGGAATTGTGCTGGTCTTATATCCACTCTTTTCATCCTTAGACCTTGGAAGTAATTGGATGAATCAAAAAGGACCGATGGGTTGAATCTGAATAGGTGAATATGTTCAATGCAGGGTCAGTTCATACACGTATATTTGAATTGAATTTAGGAAGTTGTCTTGCAATTCCTATTTCTTCTCGGATTTATTTATTTATTTAATAATTTGATTTATGTAACCACTTGCACATTCTCATTGATACTTGTTTAGCAACATGAACTCACCTGTGTCTTTTCCTGAAGGATAAGGAAATAATTATTGATATTAATGTTGCCATCATCCTTGAACTGGAAATGTGATTTTACTTTTTTGTTCTTTAGGTTGTTATCTACCTTGCTGCAACCTAGTGACTCTGTGCTGCTATTCGGGACATTTTAGTGAACATGAGTGTGGTGGGTTTTGATATTGGGAATGAGAACTGCGTTGTCGCAGTTGCAAGGCAAAGAGGTATTGATGTTGTTCTTAACGATGAGTCCAAGCGAGAAACTCCTGCTGTTGTATGCTTTGGTGAAAAGCAGCGGTTCCTTGGGACAGCAGGAGCTGCATCGAGTATGATGAATCCAAAAAATACAATTTCTCAAATAAATAGGTTGGTTGGACGCCAGTTCTCTGATCCTGAGCTGCAGCAGGATCTCAAGTCATTGCCATTTTCAGTAACTGAAGGGCCTGATGGCTTTCCTTTGATACATGCACGGTATCTGGGACAAGTGAGGACATTTACACCTACCCAGGTTTTGGGAATGGTGTTCTCTAACTTAAAGAGCATTGCCGAAAAGAATTTAAATGCGGCAGTTGTAGATTGCTGCGTCGGGATACCTGTTTACTTAACTGACCTTCAGAGGAGGTGTGTTATAGATGCTGCAACTATTGCTGGTTTGCATCCTCTTCGTCTAATTCACGAGACCACTGCTACTGCTTTAGCATATGGGATTTATAAGACTGATTTGCCTGAAAATGACACATTGAATGTGGCTTTCGTTGACATCGGTCATGCCAGTATGCAAGTTTGTGTTGCTTCTTTTAAGAAAGGCCAGCTGAAGATATTGGCCCATTCTTTTGACAGATCTCTCGGTGGGAGGGATTTTGATGAAGTTCTTTTCCAGTACTTTGCTGCTAAGTTCAAGGATGAGTATAAGATCGATGTCTTTCAGAATGCCAGGGCTTCCCTCAGGCTTCGTGCTGCCTGTGAAAAGTTGAAGAAAGTTCTCAGTGCAAATCCCGAGGCACCTTTGAACATTGAGTGCTTGATGGATGAGAAGGATGTGAGAGGCTTCATCAAGAGGGAGGAATTTGAGCAAATTAGTATGCCAATTCTGGAACGTGTGAAAAGGCCGTTGGAGAAAGCTCTCGTAGAAGCTGGACTTACAGTTGAGAATATTCATGCAGTTGAGGTTGTTGGTTCAGGTTCCCGGATTCCTGCTATTATGAAGATATTGTTGGAGTTCTTTGGGAAGGAGCCGAGACGTACAATGAACGCCAGTGAATCTGTTGCTAAAGGCTGTGCTTTACAATGTGCTATTTTAAGTCCTACATTTAAAGTGCGGGAGTTCCAGGTAATGTTCCCTACAATTTTAATGGTTATTCTTATATGGACTCATTCGTAGGATTGTCGAGTTTCATCTATTAAGTGCCATATATGCTATACATCTTTCCAAGTACTCCTTATTTTATTTTTCGTGTTCGCACAAACTTATTTGATGCTAGATTAGATCTTATATTCCATATATAGACAGGGAAAGGCTTTTGGAAATGTAACGATAAAAATTTGCATTTTATGATCAACTTTAGACTGAATTAAGTATTCGAATCATATGTTATGCGAAGAGAAAGAGAGACCGGATAGGGATTTTTATACAGTTTATGTTAGGGTCACTTGTAAAATCATGTGGGTGTTCTTGTGACCTATCATGACTCACATGAATCTATGGAATTGCACCTTATGTTAAATTCACTTAGTAGCTTCATATGAAGATGGTTTTCCATGTTTTTGTGTGTTAGAGATTTATCAAATGCCATTGGAGCATTTTTTTACTTCTTTGTTTTAAAGGAATTTGGGTTTGAATATTTAGTTTGATTTCTTTTGAGGTAGTGTGTTATCTCTGTGAATATGTGGAGATTTTTTTTGTTACCATTATTTTAGAGGAGATACCCTCTAGTGTGTTTTCGGGCTAGTTCTATTGGAAATATATCTTATGATAAATCATGACCAGACATTAAAAATACTTCCGTATGTTTTTTCCTTTCAAGGTCAATGAGAGCTTTCCCTTCCCCATTGCTTTATCATGGAAAGCTTCTGCTCCAGATGCTCAAAATGGGTCTGCCGATAGTCAGCAGAGCACCATTGTATTCCCCAAGGGTAACCCAATGCCAAGTGTGAAGGCACTGACATTCTACAGATCTGGAACTTTTTCAATAGACATACTATATGCTGATGTGATGGAATTGCAGGCACCTGCGAAAATTAGCACATATACTGTAAGCTATTAATGTGCAACTATATTTTCTTTACATTCTGGATAAGCTTTGGACCTCATGTCCTTCCATTGATGTACAGATTGGACCCTTTCAAACAAAGGGTGAACCTGCAAAGTTGAAGGTCAAAGTACGTTTGAATCTCCATGGGATTGTCTCTGTCGAGTCGGTTACTGTAAGTTCACTGAATAAAGCTTCTTCATTTGTTTATGATGCTAGGTTTTTTTTTTCTTTTTCTTTTTTTCAACACTTGACACCTGTTATGTGCATCAGCTTTTGGAAGAGGAGGAAGTGCAAGTTCCAGTCACGAAGGAGTCAGCAAAGGAACCAACCAAGATGGATACAGATGAGACTCCTGTCGATTCTACTCCCCCAATTACCAATGAAACTGATGAAAATATGCAAGATGCCAAAATTGATGCTGGAACTGAAAATGGCACCCCAGAGTCGAGAGATAAGCCTATTCAGATGGAAACTGACGTTAAGGTTGGTTAACTATGCTAATATGAGATAAAGTCCTGCTGTTTGGTTATTGAGGTTTGTTTTTTGCAGCATAATGAATTTCCTTCTGTGATTCTTCTTCCAAAAAAAAGTTGTGCTGGATGGAATATTTTCTTCATTCAGTCTCCCAATCCATATTGTCAGACGATTGTACTTTTCTTGTGTGATGTGTGTGCCTCCACTCTTCCTTTTACAGTTTATTGGTCCCATGGGAATAAAACAAGCCATGTGAATGTATTAAACTTTTCCTTGGGGTATCATTTTAACTATATACTTGTATAAGTGAAAAGTTACATGATTTCTAATTGTGGATTTTATGCAAATATAGATATTTGTGGTAATCAATTTTTTTCCCATCATAATGCCCCCCTAACCTTCAAGGTTGGTTTTATTATATTTTAATCCCAATTCATCTCAGTTTTGCTTGGAAAGGTGTTCTCTCCTGTTTTATATTTTTTATGTTTATTGGTGCAGGCTCTGAAGAAAAAGGTTAAGAAAACAAGTGTGCCTTTCACAGAACTGGTATATGGAGGAATGGCAGCTGCAGATTTGCAAAAAGCAGTGGAGAAGGAATTTGAGATGGCTTTGCAGGATCGAGTAATGGAAGAAACAAAAGACAAAAAGAATGCTGTCGAGGCCTATGTTTATGACATGAGAAATAAGGTAGGATTTTCCATTTATTGTGGATTATTAAAGAATTTCGCTCCTCAAATTGTCTCTGTGATCAACAATAATGGGATAGTGAGTCTAAAGTGGAAAGTATCGACCATATAGGAAGTTTCTTATAGTTAAGTAATGTTCTGGTTAATTCAGCCCTGTAACTTTCTTTAGCCACTGGGTATTGACTATTCGTGGCTTGTCTGCTTGCAGCTGAACGACAAATATCACCAGTTTATAGTTGATTCTGAGAGAGAACAATTCATTTCTAAACTCCAGGAGGTTGAAGATTGGTTGTACGAGGATGGTGAAGATGAAACAAAAGGCGTGTATGTTGCTAAGTTGGAGGAGCTCAAAAAGGTAGGGATACCTACCATATGCTTTTAATCACACCTCTTTCGCTTCATTCTGAAGGGGGATATTTTTATTATTTCCTGCAGCAAGGTGACCCAGTTGAGGAGCGTTACAATGAGCATACAGGAAGGGGATCTGTGATTGATCAACTTGTTCATTGCATCAACAGTTATAGAGAAGCAGCGATATCCAATGATCCCAAGTTGGATCACATCGATTTGGCGGATAAGCAGAAGGTGTGTGTTTGTTCAGTGAATTTTCCTATCCTCCTTTTTCACACTCGCCTCCTGAAGGGGCAAACCTGCACGTGTGTGCATCACCATATTATAAAATGTGGCTCAGTGGACACTTCTTCATCTTCAGGTTTTGAATGAATGTATCAATGCTGAAGCTTGGCTGAGGGAGAAAACCCAGCAACAGGATGCACTTCCTAGGCATGCTACTCCAGTTCTTTTATCAGCTGATATCAGGAAAAAAGCTGAGGCTCTCGACAGGTACTTCCCCACTGTTTTATAATTTCAGTAATTAAGAGCAGGTCACCGTCCATTTTTGGATTGTCATCAAATTTGTTCGTTCTTTAAGACTTGCCTCTTTCCTGTGTGGAGATAGTGATGTTTGCTTGTAATTTTATGCATGACTTGAAAGGTTGACAGATAATCTGCAAATGGGGAAAAGCAAATAAGATCATTTGGCTGATGAGCAAAATAGCTGTTAAAAATTTATTGGTTAATTTGGAAATAAAGAACTTGTTGATAGGAAGGTGATCTTTAGTTTCAAAGTAACTTTTATCCTAAAATATAGGCAGAAAAAGGGAAATATGTTTGAAAAATATTTGTTCCGAAAAAGTAACTTCTATTTTATTACAATCTTAACCAGACATACAACTCATTTCATAATTTATGGGCCATGAATGTCTTTAATTTTCATCTTTGACTTCTATTTTTACATCTGATATTGTCCTATTTAAAAATACAAAACATTTCTGCAGGTTTTGCAGGCCGATATTGACAAAACCAAAGCCCAAGCCCTCTGCCCCTGAATCGTCCTCGCCAGCATCCCCTCAAGGAGGCGAGTCACAAGCACAAGGTGCCGACCAACCCTCCAATGCAAGTGAGAATGTTGGGAATGAAGTACCACCTCCCACAGAGCCCATGGAAACTGACAAGTCCGAGAGTGAACCAGGTGCTTCCTAATTTGTTATGCTGGACTCATCTGCACGTCGGATGTGAAATGTTCGGAGATGAGATAGTTTTAGTTTATGTATGGTGAAAATTTATACTGTTAGTAAGCTGGTCTAGCTAGCTTAACAATAACGGCTACCATCCTTCTCCCATAACTATTTATTTCCCTTTTTGAGTTTTGGGAGAGGGGAACTTCAAGTTGTTTTGATTTATTACATCTTTTGTCGTGTTGAGATTTATTGACAAAGCTAATGAAACAGCAATAATGAGACAACATGTTAGGCATGATCTTACTTCTATAAACTAATAGAAAAAGTATTATGCTGTATATTAGAATGGATTGCGAACTTTGTCTCTATTTGGTCATATGTCTTTTGATAAATTAATCTTTAATCACGTATTCTTTTAATATAATATTTTGTACGTGAATTTATAATTTTTTTATCACATAATATTCAATAATCATTTTTTATAATTTTATTATAATAAATCTCTACCAATCAGGGTTTACCTTACCCTAAATTAATTACAAAAATGATACATCAAATATTCAAGAAACCAAATTATAATAAATCTCTACCAATCAGGGTTTACCTTACCCTAAAATAATTACAAAAATGATGCATCAAATAGTCAAGAAACCGGTCTATATTCGTCAAATCGTGAATTTTCACTTTTTTTAATAGTTTTATTTTTAAAATTCACGACGATAAAATTTTTCACATATTTTATACTCGTCAATGTTGAGGTTGAATTAATCGAGTGGTTGACTTATTTACACGATACGGACAGGCATCAACTTTCAACGAAACCATAAGGTAATGTAACTTCCAATAACCAGATTGGTTCTTAATCGAATCGAGTGGTTTTGTTTAATTTTGACAATATTGATACTGACAATATTGATAATCAAACACACTTAAAAGAAAGTACTATTTTTTAGTGTTTATTAAATAGGGGGTACATAATCATCATTTTCAAAATACAGTATATAAAGTGCGTTTATTGTTTGGTAACTTTTGCTTTGTCTGTATCTACCATAAATAAAATAGCCAGTTTGCCATTATTGTTCATAAGTCGGCCGTCGAGCTAAACGGCTTTATGGCTCGACTCGGCTTTTTTTCTACTACGTTTGATTCAGTATTTTAAGTTACATATATTTATTTTAAGCGATTTAAAATTTGTTGGAAATATTGAAGTGCGGACATGATAAATATATGATCGATAAATTTTAAATATCAAAATAATTTTACATTAATTGTGAAACGTAAAGTCGTGATTGTTTATATTTCTTTTCAATCTCAACCTCATTCCAATATCTTTTTTTCGAACTTTATTTT